CAACAGCATGTCTACTACTCTTTAATGGGTAGGAATCTCAACAAAGAATGCTAGCCTACGTATATGAGGGTACTTCAAAAAGTTTGTGCAAAAATGAATTAAAAGATAATATGAATCTTTCCATGAACTTCTGTTTTTTTTTTTTAAAAAAAAAAAGATGAACGGCAAGGGGATCTTAACCCTTGACTTGGTGTTGTCAGCACCACGCTCACCCAGTGAGCAAACCGGCCATCCCTATATGGGATCCGAACCCGTGGCCTTGGTGTTATCAGCACCACACTCTCCCGAGTGAGCCACAGGCCGGCCCTTTCCATGAACTTCTTGAAGACCCCTAATATGCAGTTCAACATACTTGATTAGAAATAAGAGAGGATGATGGATGACAAGAAGTTAGTTTACCTCTGGAGGAAATGGCTCTGCTTGTGAGAAGGTGGGAGCAGTTCCCAATGAGAAGCACATCCCAGGCAAAGAAGGTCCCTATGATTTGACAGCATCACTATACAGAACAACATCAAAGTCATCCTTAGTGGGAAGGTTGTAGATACATTATGTCCACACAAGAAAATGCTAACAATGTAGGGTACTGGGGATTATTCTGGAGATGAAACATCAACCTCGTAAAGTGACAGTTGTAGTCATTTAACACAATTTTGATGATTGATGGAGTTTGGATGTGTTGTCCCCTCCAAAACTCATGTGGAAATTTGATGTCCAATGTGGCAATGTTGGAAACTGATTGAGTCATAGGGGCAGATCCCTCATGAATGGATTAAGGCTCTCCCTGGGGGAGAGGGGATTAATGAGTGAGTTCTTGCTCTGTTAGTTCCCGTGAGAGCTCGTTGCTTAAAAAGACCCTGGCACCTTCTCTCTCTCTCTTGCTTCCTCTCGCCATGTGATCTGCTTGTACCCGCTGGCTCCCTGCCACTTTCCGCCATGAGTAGAAGCAGCCTGAGGCCCATGCCAGACACAGCTTCCCAGAATCGTAAGCCAAATAAACCTCCTTTCCTTATAAATTACCCAGTCTCAGGTATTTCTGTTATAGCAACACATAATGGACTAAAACAATATTTACAATGTTCTATCATTTTATATCTCAGTACTTGCCTAGGTTGGGTTTTTCAGGAAGTAAATACTGATATGAAGTTATGAGTGCAAGTGATTCATTGGGGAGTAACATGTGTGAAAGAAAAAGGATTGGTGGGGGGAGCTGTCACAACATGATCCAGAGCTGACAAAGTATCTTGCCAGGTATACAGGTAGCTCTAAAGCAAAGTTTGCCCTTTAAAGAGGTCCAGTATCAGGCAAAAACAGCTAGAGCCTTGTACCACTGCCTTGCTCAGACAATGGTCTGGTGCCACCCTAAAAATAGCATCACTTCAATTTGAAAGCTGAGGGGGACCTTGACAGAGCTAACAACTGGAAGTTGCTGGCTAGCCACATCCTTACCGTTGGGCAGAGTGTGCTTTCTGGAAAGAGAATTTGGGCCACTTATCTCCATCTCCATGTCTTCCACAGTGCTGCAATGCAGCACTAATAAGATTTTGGGTGACTATGAGTTTGGAGATGAAAACTGATTAGACCAGAACAAGACGTATTAGTGAAGTGTACTCAAATTCTACTTGAGGTAGTTTATAGTGGTATGCACCACCAATTCCTTAGGTAATTATAGTGATCACCGAAAGATCAGGGACTGAAAATATTATTGGATGTTGCTTAAATCCTCTAAAGTGGTAAAGAAGATTGTTACTCCCATTTCATTCTAAATAAGTTGCTCCTAGTGGGACAACTCACTGCCTCTGCTTGTCATGGCCTGTAATAAGTTACACGGGCTTAGTTGTGAAATGGGCAAAAGGAGCTCAGAATGGCTCTTTTTGGGATGATGAGAAAGAACCATTATTTTATAAAGATTGAGGTGATATTTAAGGAAGTCAGATTGGCTCTTTGTGAAGCATCACTATCTTTTTTATGTCTTCTGCACAAGTTTCACAGTAGTGGTGGCCAGAGACGGAAAAGAGACAAGGGCCCTTTTCTTTTCCTTTCCTTTTTTAGGGTATATTATAGCATAGTGCTTAATATAGTGGAGGCTTTGGCATCTGTCATCACTTACTAATAACTTGGCATTGGACAAGTTGCTGAGCTTCTCTGTGCCTTAGCTTCTTCATCTGTTAAATGGGGATTACAATTGTGCACACTTCATGGGCTTGAGGTGAGGATGAAATAACACATGCATAGTTCCTTGCTTAGGAAGGGCTCAATACTTGTTAGCTGTCGTACTTCTCTTTCCTTTCTTTCTCTTCCTCCTTGTTGAAAATATGCTTTCCTGTTGAATGTTGTCACCCACTCTGTTAGGTTAGCAAAATGTTTACGTAACTTGAGAGCAGGGTAAAATTGAAAGAATCTGTTACTCTAACAAGATTCAGGGTGTCTGCTTTTAGTCAGGTTTCTGGTTTTCACTGTTATGTTCTCAGCGCTGTGCCGGGTATAAAAAATGGTCTCTGTTCTGAGCAGCAGTCTATTTGAGAAAGAAATTAAACGTATAAATGACTAATGAAAACACAAGTGCATATAGAATTAAGTTTTAAATGAACCTTAAGTGATGTAGGAGTCTAATTTCATTTTGCTGACACTGACTGTTGTTTCAGTCATTGAGAGGCAATACCATTTGGGGTGATATTGCAAGAGTGAGTGCTTATAACATAATACCAATAAAATAACATATATTTATTGTCTTAGAATCTAAGATACATTAAGTTAGATCAAAAGAAAGCAAGTTCAAGAAAATTTAAGTATAATGAGGTCATTGCCTCTATTTTAGCCTAGTAATGCTCTCTACTGCTAGATATGTCAAGATGTCAAAAATAGGAAGAGCTGATGAATGCTTTGAAAAGACCTATCGGGAAAACTTAAATTTTTTAGTTGATCTCTTGAATTTCTGACTTTACCGTAACTTGCTATTTTAACCAGCCGATCAGGCTCATCCAGTGGCCTTCTTTATTCCAGATCTCCGTACATTTATGAGCAAAGTAAAGTGGGTGGGACTCCAGATCCCTCTCCTTCCTCCCCTTAGGAGCCTCCACTGTAAAATCATTTAGGGAAAAGGGGTTCGCCTATTTTAAAAAGGATAACTGGGCCAGAACATGTGGGATTATAGTTTACTGTGTACAAAAAACAAAGTCTTTGGGCTAAAAGGTACTTCTCGCTTCCCGATCATACTCTTCTACTTGCTAGAGAAACATGCTTTGTGCCCTGTTCAAGAGATTCACACACAGTAGGTCATGAGTGGTTAAGCAGACACTGAGATAGGATTAAAATTCTCCAAAGTGATTTCTTGCTGTTAAACCCTTCAAAATCATTGATCTGAGTATTACCATAAAATAGTCCAACCTAATTTATTTTCTTCTACACTTCTAGTGAACTAAAACTCTGAACACCTCTTTCCTTGTGAGATTTATGATATGTTTGAAGTCTGTTGAATTCTTACAACCAAGTATTCTCTTAGGACTATAAAGGGAAAAAGATTTAAAAAAAGATCCCACACAAGATTTTTTAGAGCAGTTAAAATACTAGATATGATACTGTAAGGGTGGGTACATGTATTTGTCCAATGCCATGAATGTGCAACGTCAAGAGCGAACCCTAATGTAAACTATGGACTTTGGGTGATAATGATGTGTCAACGTAGGCTTCTCAGTTGCAATAAACGTACCACTTACTCTAATGGGGGATTTGGTAACAGGAGAGGCAATGCATGAGTGGGGGCGGAGAGTATATGGGATACATTTGCACCTTCCTCTCAATTTTGCTGTGAACCTAAAACTGCTCTGAAAAAAATGGTCTTTTAAAAAAATCCCTTACCTCACTATGATTTTGAATGACTGTTTTAGTAATGTCCCAGAGATGGATCTCCATGCGATGTCCTAGCCTGGGTGAATTATAAGAGCAAGTGTTGAGTAATTGGGTGACCTGCTCTCAGGTGTTATAGGAATGCGTCCCCTCCCACCTCAACATTTGTCTCTGTGTGGTCTGACTGTGAACTCGCTTGTGCCTGCGCGAAACCCGGGCACATAGAAAAGACCAATCAAAGACGGTGGTTTTTCCTCCCTGCTTCTTTTGCCACCGCCCGCACCCGACAGGCTGACAACCTGGCCAGCTCCCCGGGTGTTCTCCTACGTTTCTCCATCATCCCACGCAGCGACACCTGCCCACTCGCGGAGCAGATCGTCCGCCGGCGGACCCAGCGAGCATGCGCGACCGTTCCGAGCATGCTCAGTAGCGCGAGCGGCGCCCCGGAGCTTCTCCACCAAGACGCGACGGACGTGGAGGTCTCCGCGGCATTTGCGGGAGCGACAGGAAGTGAAGTGGCCCCGCCGGGCGGCCGCGGCGGCAGAAACAGAAGCGGAAGGGGCCCTGCGGCTACGACGTCGTTTACTGGGGTGGCCAAAGGAGCCGAGCGCAGCGGGGACGCAACTACTCGGAAGCCGGATCCCGAGCCGGCCAGGATGGATCTTCACCAGCAGGGGACTGGCCGTTACCAAGTGGTGAGTCCCCGAGGGTCCCTCTCCTCGGGTCATTCCCAGAGGGGGCATGCTGGCTGTTCTGTTTTTCGGCTCTTCTGGCCGAAAGTGCTTTCTTTACACCTCTCCTGTTGGACCCCTGCCTGTGACTCCTTCGAGTCCCTTCCCTCTCGGCCCATCCCCTCCTAGCCCCCCACCCGTCCCCCCGTAAAACTAAGATCTGTTTTATTTCTCACTTTCTCTGTCATTTTCTTGTTCTCTGACTCAGTCTCTCCTGAGACATTCCAGTCGATTGCCTCCTGGAAGTGAGGCAGAGTTCACATACCTGCCCGGAAGGTGATCGCCCTCAAAACTGGGGTGGGTGAAGGAGGTGTAAGCGGTGCGTAGGGTGGAATGTGGATTTGGTGACGATGTGCTTTAGGACGTGCAGAACTGCGGAGAATAGCCGTCGTGTTGATCTTTCTATCTGCTCTAGTTAACCTTGTCATTTTGCCCTTTTCTATTATGTTAGTATCAAAAGTGACTAGTGTTTTTTTTTTTTTTCTTCCCCATCCCCACTTTTTTTTCCTCCCTGGCTGGAGGGGATACAGAGGAAGTTTTATCAGAAAAAATTCTAACTTTGTTTGAAAAATTATTTTTCATTAAATATAAGGTTTTTTAACTTAACCATGTAAACCTCTGTATGTTGCAATGAGTCAATGTTAAATGTCAATTTTTGTAATATATTTTTTCCTCTGTATATTAATTCTGGTGTCATTGGAGATTCCTGTTGTAAATCCTATTTTAAAATGGATGCAACAGTAGTTGACTGTTCTGTTGCAGCTAGGTAGCATGCTGTTCTACAAACTTTCAGATGGTAGTTTAGCTAAGCCTATTTACTCAGGGAGAGGAGAAAAACATTAATATGTAGTGCAGATAGCACAGTTTATAATTTGTAAAATTTTACAAATGTAGATTTGTTAGTCCCAGATTTCACCTTTCAAAACTATTTTGTAAGAGTTAATTGTGAACTAAGGATTTTATTAAGTGCATTTTGGCAAATATGAAGGACACTGAAAGATGAGATTCCAATGAATGTAATTTGGCATTTTTCTAAGATGAAAGCTCATGATGTTTCCATTGTCAAATAGTTTGCGTACTGTAAAACCTCCAAGGGATCTATGTTATTAGTTCTCTGAAAATTTATCAGTATTTATAGAGTGGCTTGGAAGATATCACTGCTAGTATGGAAGGCATTTTTCAAGTTGTTGTATACATTTTTGGTGGTTTGATTTTTTTCTTTAAAAGTCATTCTTATTTTGTAAACGTTAGCAAAAATAAAACGCAATAAATAAATATAGAATAATGTTTGTGGGACTTACTTCATTTTTTAAATCTTGTTCCTGTTTGTTTCCCTTAATGGCATGAGCTGATTTGAATTCTTTCTCTTTGGGTGCTTTTGCTTATCAGAATCAAACGTGTTCTCACACACAAGTCCCTACTCAACATATTTAACTGGTTTAGTTGCACCTTAAAAAATAATTTTATTATACTGTCACATTTGCTTTCAATAATTATGGACTAGTTGAGATTAATTAGGTTTTAAAATTTCTGCTATCAAATATTGAAATTTGCTCTCTCAGTTTTAAGGTGTTTTCTTTTTCTCTACAACTTTTTTCAAAATAAATGGACAATATCATATTTTATTACCCCTTTTTTTCAAACTACAGTTGTGTCCTACATAGACTTTGAAATGGGTAGAGACATTCCTTGAGAGCAGAGAGCAAAAATCAGTCCTAAATATGCTACCCGCCTGTCCTAAAGCTACTACTCACTTTAAGTAGGTAGGACATCAGTTTGTTTTCCTGGTAAGGCAAAGTTTTAGAGAATCTTAGCACAGTTAAAGTTTGGATTTTAATTTATTACTGTGTCATTACATAGCGATTTCATCTGTCCCGTGTAACACTTGGTTTTGTTGAGAATGGCCTGATTAGTAACTATATCTAGGTATTTGCTATAGAGGTAGCTGAATTGAAGTTTCAAGTAGACTTTTTAGCTAGGGATCAGTCTGCATCTTATATGGTAAATGCAACTGTTTTGTGCCTGCCTTTAGCTCAGGGTTTTTTTTTTTTAACTCTGGAATGATTAATAACTTTGGTTGTTGAATGTTAATGGATGACCAGTACAGGAGATAGACAACTATATTTAGGGGTGAAGTGGTATGCCATTAATTTATTACTTAAAGAGTTAAAATTTAGCTCTCCATACTGGAAAGTTAGCAGTGATGGCCAGGTCCATTGGAATGACTTACTACCCTTAACCAATGGACATTAACCTTCTTCCCTTGCATTGTTAAAACAGTTCTGAATTTTAAGTAAAGCAGTGGATAACAATGTAGAACTGCAAAAAGTCTTGATTGTTACCCTTCTAATTTCAGAAAAAGCCAGGTATAATACATAGTTTCATTATGTTATGGGAAATTTAGTTTTGCTTGGTAGGAAATGATGTTGCCAAATGAAGTAATTTACTTGGCTTGCAGCTGTTGTACCATGTTTTAACTTTGATGTTCTCTATTTTAAAGGATTATGTATCTGTACCAAGCTGACTACTAAGATTTAAAAGGTATTCTATGTACAAATTAAATTGGCAGTGTTGGGGCCGGCCCGGTGGTGCACTGCTACAGTGCGCTGCTTGTGAGTGCGGCGGCACTCCCGCCGAGGGTTCGGATCCCACATATAGACCGGCTGCTCACTGGCTGAGCGAGGTGCGGGTGCAACACTGAGGGTTGCGATCCCGTTGCCGGTCCCGGTCCGGTACGGGCGCGACACTGAGGGTTGTTATCCGTTGCCGGTCACAAAAAAAGACAAAAAGGAAAAAATAAATAAATAAATTGGCAGTGTTGACTGTAGCAGTAGTTTACCAAACTATACTCCAGAATGATGTTCATATGTGTTCTTGGAAGATTTAGAACATGTGGTAGCATATTAAAAAATAATTAGCATATTAAAATCACAAGAAATTCTTCAGTAAAGACAATGGTTTGGATGTGTTTACCCTAGCTCTTTCTAATCTTTGACCAGAGGTTTTTGTTTGTTTGTTTAATTTTAAGATTATGTTGACATTTCTAAAATGTCGGTTTTCTGTGGAACACAGTTTGAATTGTTCATATTGCAAAGGTCTGGGTGCTTTGCTGTTGTTTCTGGTGAATTAGAGTTGCCCTTGATAAATCACCTGGGAAGAAGCCTTGACTATTAATGGTTAACAGGTTTTAAAGTCATCTGGGCTTATATTTAGGTTGCGCTGTTTGTAATTTGTGGTACCTTGGCTTAGTTACTTTCCATCTTGAAGCCCCAATATCCTCATATTAGTACCTACCACATCAGGATTATTATGAGAATTAAATAATGTAATATATGTTAAAACATGTCAAACTGGTATGTGATAAATAAGTATCCTATTTGCAAAATAATAAATTAATCTGTTAATATTTCCTGGTTGCTGGCAGAAAACAGGAGACTCCCAGATCAGAGAAAAATAACATTACTCACAGCACAGTAAGCAGCATGAATGAACATCAGCACATTTGTGTAGATTTTCCTTGTTACCAAGTCCCACAGGGGGTGATGGGTATCCAGGTGGACACATGCATTAGGTTTGGGTTATAGCTGAGGAACTCAGAGCCATTTTTTTTTTTTTTTTTTTTTTTAGCAAGCAGCAAACATTGTACCACACAACAGACAAGCTAGTTCACCTCTCCTTGGGTAGGCAGTTACTTGCTGTGGTTTCCTTGATCTTCTTTGTTGCATATGTGACTTATTACAAGAAACATCTTAGTATCGGGAAATGGAAAGTTTTGCAGACTGGCATACTCAGCAAGAATGTGTGGGGCTGTTCAGGTCCACGGCAGACTGCCTCATCCAATAGTACATGTTCTGGATGAAATAATATATGGTGATATTTAGGTACAGTTGTTTCCTTTCATTTTCCATTTTAAAGGAGTATTGCAGTCTGTTACCTTATGTTGCTCTGTAGTTATTACTTTCTTTTCTTGGCTGGCCTGATTCCTTTAATTTTCATTTGTTTATTTATCAATATTCTGTATGTTATATACTTACCACACTTCTTTTACATAATCAAGATTACTTAATTGCATAATCTAAATAATCTATATAAATCTTGCTTGATTTCTGTTTTATCAACACTGTGAACTTTAACCTCCTTCCTCATTCCTGATACCTAGAAACTTTCTACTTCCCTTGACTTCTCTGACTTTTCTTCTTTTTGTGAACTCCTTTCGTACTTCATACTCCTTAAATGTGGCTGCTTTCCACAGCATGAAATATTGTAATGGTTTCCTTACTACTTTCTTCCTTTATGTGACAGTCCTTCAGTGCATCATTTGCACTGCATGAACCATATTTGTAGAATATAAATTTGATTTTCATTTCTTTGCTCAAAAACCTTCAGTAGCCTCTTTTTGACCCCCCAAACATTTAATAACGTTCAAAATTAAAAATTTCAAATATATAGAAAAGTTGAAAGAATTGTACAATTTTATTCAGTATGCAACTTGTAGGATGTACAGTTAACAGTTTGTTATATTTTTGTATACCTGTCATTCTGTCTTATTTTTTTGATGTAAGTTGCAGATATTAATGTACTTCCCTTGTAAACCGTATGCTTATCATTAGCCTAGAGTATAATATTTGTTTGTGGTTCTTCGTCTTTAGAGTAAAATCAGCATGTAATGAAATGCACAAATCTTACATAGCCTGTTGGATGTACTTTGACAAATGCATATACCTGTGTAACCCAAACCACTTTCTTTTTTTCCCCCTTTTTAAAATTTTTATTCATATTTATTTATTTATTATTGGTTATGAATGTTCATGAGATACAAAGCTGATTGTCACCACTGGTGCCCAAGATGTGATGGCCAGATCCATACTGGCAGCATGCCCATTACCACAAATTGCCGTTATACCCCATTTCTCCCACCCAGTTATCTGCGACCTCCCTCCCCATTCCCCTTTCCCCCACCCCAC